TGGCAGTGCTCAAAAAAAATATCTGCTGATTGGATGCATGTCAAATGGATAGATGGACGGAGAGATGGATAATGGAATAAAAAAAATCATCTCTCAAAGTGAACCCTCAGAGTTTTAGGGCCCGAAACATTTGAGAAACTAATTGGCTTCCATTTCTAAAAGATCATGTCACAGGCTTATTAAAACCTTCTCCTTTCCTCAGGAGGAGCTAGAGAGTAATCAGGCCTGCAGTCCCATCCAGTCTAGGGTCTAAGACATTGGTGACCATCTCGTGCAGATGGTACCGCATTTCTCCCTGTTACATAAATTGCTGAAGTACAAAAGCCACGGTCTCAAGAACACAGAGGAAATGTAACAACCCCAGTGAATGGCTGGAAAGCATTCCAGGATCAAGCTCCCAAGAGCATTTTGTGCACCACCTCAGAGTGGTATCTCTGAGGTGCACAGCCTCTGACATTACAGTCCAGCTTAACTGTCCCAAGTCCACAACATGAGATGTCACAGTGCTGACAGTTATAAACTGCTGTGGCAAGACTGGGCTGTGGGATCCCACTGTTTTTCCATATACATCAATATATACTAGGAAATGCTGAGGAAGAGAAAGAAACTCAGCCTAATTTTGGAACCCTAGGCTGCCTGCTAATTAATTGAAAAGCCTGACATTTATACAATGCTTTAGAATTTAAAAACACCTTCATATTTCCACTCTCATTTAATCCTTACAACATTCCCACGAAAAACATAAAATATTATTATTTCTGTTCTAGTGTGGAAATCTGGAATCAGGAACAACCAGCAAGTCACATCTTCTGACCCCCTGCTCTCTTCTGGGTACACCTTCAAGTGAACTGTACCTCTCCAGTTCTTAAACCAGATTTTTTTTCTTTCTCAGCACATGGTCATGAAAAGCATGCCAATTTATGGGAAACAAGTAAAATTTACGGGAAGTGAAAAACCTCTGAAGGCATTCTCCTCTAACCTCCCTCCCTCCCCTGCACTAGAGGTGTGCGGAGTGGGCGGAGGGGAAAGGAAGCAGCAGCAGGGACCCGACAGGACAAATAAGACACACGATGAGGTAAGTTTAGGGTCCGTCGCTCCAGCAAGTTCTGCCCAAACCTGCAAAAGCTTCTGCTCAGGAACCAGCCCTGCTAGAGAAAGCAATCCACAACACTTTTGATACAGCAAAGGAGAGTGTTAAACATGTAGATACGGGCCACTGTGAAAGTCGTGGGATTCCGGGTAAATTTTGGCCTGATCTTCCTGACACCCTGCGTCTCCTGAGTCTATCCCTCCTCTGCAGTTGAGGTCACTCCCTCACTGCCTCTCATCCAGCCAACGAGAATCGTCTCCTAACTTGTTTCTATGCTTCAGCTTTCCCTCCTTCCAGTCCACCTCCTACACGATCACCAATGCAATCCTCAGATGTCACCTCCTCTTGGCATCTTCCTTGGCCTCTCCCACCCTAGCCTTTTTGGAATTGCCCCATCTCTCCTATGCTTGGATAGCACCTCCCCAAGGTGGGGTTTCTCCCCAGGTTTACCATAAACTCCCCTAGGCAGCGGTCTCGTCTGCACACAGTGTAAAGTCTTAGATGTAGAAGATATTTGATAAATGTTGATCAAATTGAGCCCATTATGCTTTATTTCTGGCCTTAACATCTAGCTTGTTAGGGAAGCAGAAGGCTCAGTGGGCCACAGTGAGCAGCATCTCCGGAAAGGATGGCTGGGACTCAACACCGAGGAGCCACCACACTTGTGTGGCTGTACAAGGTTCTCCAGCCACCCTCTGCTCACCGCAAGGCAGGTGGAAGGTGACCAACACCTTCTCTTTCTTCAAGGGATTTCAAATTCTCACATGGGAACTATACAAGCATGCTTCTTTGCCTTGTCCCAAAGGCTCTGTTTATGTGCACCAGCTGCGGTTCTAGGAGGCCACCAAAAGGGGAAATGGGTAGATGGGCGGCCCTTCTCATTTCAACCCTTCAAAACCAAAGGGAAAAAAAGTCACCTGAAAATTACTCCCTTGCCCCATTTGCTGTTAACAGAGTTCATTCTGTAGCCAGTGTACTGCTGGTATTTGTGAACCACTCAGTTTCCCTTTGCCAACAGGAAGGTTGCTCGGGATCTGCTGTCCCCTCACAGCTGGAGATCTTCCCAGGGCCAGATCTCATGTTGTCACAGTTTTCTCAATCAAAATAGAAGGCCCAATAGTGACCCATCCCAAGTACTACATCAAATAACAATAACTGAGGACATGCACGATGCAGAGAGCTTCACAACATCACTGCTGCTTCTCCCTCCAGCTCCCTCCTATCACTGGTCCAATCTGACCACGTGTGAGCATCAATGCGCCACCGACCACCTCTCAGGCCCTCCACTCCCTCAGCGCCCCTGCCCCTCCTCACCCGACTTATGGCCACAACCACTCTCCGCCATAAACTCAACGCCCTTACCCCCTTCATGCTTTGTTGAACTTTTTGGCCTAAACCCAACCCTGTGCACACAAATGGGTGCATAAATGTGCATAGCAGCATTATTCACAAGAGCCAAAAAGTAAAACTAACCCAAGTATCCATCAACTGGGGAAGAGGTAAACAAAATGCTTATATCCATATAATGGAATAGTATTCAACAACAAACACCGACTGATACCTGCTATAACATGAATGAACCTCCAAAAAATGCAAAGTGAACGAAACCAGATACAGAACCTCACATATTATATAATCCCATTTATACACATACAACTTGGTAAATTTACTACTAATTATTGAATTGTACACTTAAAATGGGTGGATTTTATGGTATGTAAATTATACTTCTACAAATTTATTTAAAAAAATTTAACAACAACAACTCTGGTTAAATTCACCTGTTCTGTGATTCAGCACCGGGGCTATCTCTACAGCTGGAGAAGAAAAAGGCAACCACACTGGCCCCACTTAAAACTCATGTGGGTTCTTGATCCTGTCTTCCAATCATACTGTATTTCTCAAGCTCCTTTTGTCTCCTACTCTCCTCAATTATTTCCCTCTCCTCAAATCTCCAACACCTCAGCCCCACATAGTCCCTTCTCACCTGATAATCCTACTTCTTGCTTCACCGAGAAAACAGAGGCCACCAGAGGAGAACTTCCAGACTCCTATTATCACACCAGCCTGCTGCCGGTTCCTACTCTGCTCTATCTAGCAGGCGTGTGTGGCTATTTAAATTAAGATTAAATAAAATTAAAAATTCAGTTCCTCATCCAGAGTAGTCACATTTCAAATGCTTACTAGCTCCATGCAGCTTGTGGCTCCAATACCGGACAGTGCAGATACAGAACCTCTTCATCACTGCACAGAGAGGGTCTATCTACTGCCCATCTATTCAAAACATCTCCTCTACTTACAGGTACGTTTCCTCCCACCCACCCCAAGGGCACTGCTCTAGCAATTCCTTCCTTTCTCCTACATGATCAATTTTCGGCTAAGAGATCATTTCCATCAGCATACAAACGTGACTGTTATTGAAATAGATAATAGATAATGGCATTCTCAACAGAAACAAGAAATAACGAATATGTGACATGATAAAGGTGTTAGCTGATGCAACTGTCATAATTATACAACAATCATGAATGTATCAAACCAACATGTGTACACTTTAAACTTACAAAACGTGTATGGTAATTTTTAAAAAAAGATAATGGTAATGATTGCACAACACTGTAAATAAAATTAATGCCACTGAATTGTACACTTAAAATAGTTAAAATGGCAATTTTTTTTTTAAGATTTAATTTACTTGAGAGAGAGACAGAGAGCGCACACAAGCAGGGGGAGCAGGAGAGAGAGAAGCAGACTCCCTGCTGAGCAGGGAGCCCAACATGGGGCTCAATCCCAGGACCCTGGGATCACAACCCAAGCCAAAGGCAGACGCTCAACAGACTGAGCCACCCAGGCACCCCTAAAATGGCAAATTCTATGTTTATATATATATATAAATATATATACACACACACATACATGCATATTGCATATATACTAACACAATTTAAAAAAGATTTAAAGGATGAAATCTTCTCTCATCATCACTTACCCTACAGTACCCACTACCAGCGATGGCCGTTTCTCTGCCTCCCTTCAGAGCAGAACTTTTCAGAAGATTTCTCTATGTTCACCAACTCCAATTCTACTTTTGCTCTCATCCCCCTCATCTCTCAAGTCACCATGCCCCTACCACTCCACCAAAATTGCTTTTATCGGCTGCCTAACCCAACTGGACTTTATTTTTTATGGGCAACTTTATTCAACTTTATCAGCAGCTTCTGAGCACTCCCTCCTCCTAAAAACATCTTCTTCCCTGTTTCTGAGTCCCAGACCTGCCTCTCAGGACCTGGTCCTCTACCTTTTGCTTTCTGCCTGGACTCTGCCCACCAGGCCTCCCTGGACCTCTACCCACAAACCACCTGACTCCTCCAACTCAACCCCATTACTCCTTCCCCTGAACGTCCTAACTCCTCTCTTGTCATCAGTTCTTAGGCCCTTCTGAAGAGCCAGACAAGCCCTGGTCTCTTTGGTCCCTCTATTTAAGATCGAGTAAGGCCTGTCCCTTCCTTGACTGAGGCTTGATCCTAAAAATAATAGATATGAACTTCTAGCTCTTTAAAGGACATAGTCAATCTTCCCAACAGTGTTATAATACTCTCAGTAAGACAACTGAAGTTGATTGCCAAAAGTAATCCATGTCACACATTTATTTGCATTGTCTTCAGGGGATCTGTTTTAGTTAGGTTCTTTTATTTGGATGATACCTGAATAAACTTTGCATTCAGTGCCCAGAAAAAGAGAGCACTCTTTTAGATTTCTCAGGAAACTGGACAAGAATAGAAGATGTGTTTGGGTCCAAATAAAAATAAAAGGAAATGATGGCTATTACAGTCAGCCCAGGACTGGAAGTTATTCAATCAAGATTCTAATTTTCACCCTTACTAGTCCTAGTACATCTCTAGCCACATACCTAGAAGCATCAAGGAATGGTCTGTAGGCCAAGCTGATCCATTCTTCTCTATTTGATGAATATTTCGGCTCCCGGGGTGTTTCTCTTGTGGTGTCCAAATCCACTAAATAATGGCATTTACTGATGTCAATCTGCAATGGGGAAAGGCCAACCCTTCATTAGTAACTGCAAAGGTCTTTTCAGGATAAGGAACATCAATTACAATCCTAAAAATTCCCACAGGGTTTCAGAAACACAAATCTCCAAGTCCTTGGACAATATTACCTGTGCTCTTTCCCTTCAGGTAAGAGTGTTGGGTTCTGGGGAATTATTTAGGCTCCTGGTTGCAGGGGTGAGACATGCACCCACCTAGCCAAATATATATGCAAGCTTTGGGAGTTCTGACCCTAGTTTGAGTATTAAGTTCCTCTGGCCTCACAGACACTTCTGAAGCTAGCATGAGTCCACAACCTACTCAAAAAAACTCTCTTCTTCTGCTATCATTCCCTTCCAATCTACCACCTCTTATCTCAGAGATTAAAAGGGCATCACCTAAACACATGCTAATGTGTGAGGAAGCCCCATCTCTGCGGACAGAGCCATGTGAGGTCACCCTACTACACCTCAGAAGTGGTACAGCACTATCACGGATCATCATCTCCTTCAAAAATTCAACAGAACTGACAGAGACATGGGAACTGCCATTGCAGCAAAAGATCAGTAAAACTGAGGTATCAAAACTGTGAGAGTGGAGAAGGTTACAAAAAATATATAGCAACTATTAGCAAAACTGTAGTCATCCAGTTGCTTACAACATGGATACATCAGAGCACCATAGCTAATTATAAGAGGATATTAATACATTTCACTTAAAACTATATCAGTACTGTGCTTCTCACAAAATTGATTAATTCAATGGAACATGCTACAAAATCTGAAGGCTGCTACTGTTGTTAAATAGTTCCTTTCCAACTAAAAAAATTTATATTTCTAACCAAAATCACAAGTATATGACAGAGCCAGATCTGGACTCAAGTCAGTGTGACTTCAAAAGTCATATCAAGACTGCCCCAAATGACTGAATCAGAGGGAAAGTGCTCTCAGGAGCTCAACGAAATGTTTTTTACAAATTAAAACCAATAAAGAGTCCTCCTAGAATGCCAGATATCAGTTAAGATAAAGGCCATTAGAAACATGAACAGATCTACAGCAAATCTCATATTAAAAGGTTTGAAAGTTTTTCCCTTGGGATCAGGAATCAGTCAAGACTTATCACTACTCTATTCAATACTGTACTAGAGATTCCAGTCAGCAGGGTAAGGTAAGAGAAAGAAATGACAGAAGAAATGGAAAGAGATAACAAAACTCATTCATCACAATGATATGATTGGTATATATAAAATCTGGTTGCCTAATAAATTTTTGGAATTCAGAGAGTTTATCAAACTTTAGATTTATAGGATGTAAAAATCAATGTCATATATTCCTATAGAACAAGACAAGAAAGAAAATGTTTTTAAATTATGTATTTTCAAATTATATTATAAAAATATAATTCATGAGAATTTGAAAATGTATGCCGTGGAATAAATCTAACAAAAATATGGGAAAGTCCTCTATAAAAAATTATGGAATTTTATTGACAAATGTCTGTCAAGTGATCAATTTATAATGTGGTATATTCATATAATTAAAATGTGGTAAATACATGCAATGAAATATTATTCAATCTTAAAAAGGATACATTGCATAACATGGATGAACCTTGAAAACATGATGCCAAGTGAAAGAAGCCAGCCACAAAAGACCACATGTGGTGTGACTCCATTTCCATGAAATGTGCACAACAGACAAATCCACTGAGACAGAAAGCAGATTAGTGGTTGCTAAGGACTGGGGAAGTGACTTGCTTAATGGGTATGGGGTTTTCCTGGGGTGAGGGGTGGGGGAGGATGAAAATGTTCTGAAATTAGATGGTGGTTATGGCCTCACAACAGTATGAATGTAAACACCACTGAATAGTGCACTTTAAAATCATTGCTTACCCTAAGATCCAGCAACTCCATTTCTAGGTATGTACCCAAAAGAGTTGAAAGCAGTGACTCAAAACAGATATTTATATCCCAATGTTCACAGTGGCATTATTCACAACAGACAAAAGGTAAAAATAACCCCAAAGTCCATCGTGGAAGAATGGATTAAAAAACTATCTAATGAGTACCAACTTTCAGTTTGAGATGATTAAAAAGGTCTAGAGATAGAGTGGAGATGATTATATAACACTGTGAATATGTTTAATGCCACTGAATTGTATCCTCAAAATGGTTAAAGTGGTAAATTTTATCACAATAAAAATTTGTTAAAATGAATTTTAATCTCAAAAAAATTTTTGACAATATAGTATTAAATGGAGAGATAAACCTTATTCCTAATCAATCACTGTTATAAAGATGTAAAGCCTAAATAAATTGATCAATATAGTAAATGCAATCTCAAAAATCCCATCAGACTTTTTTTTATGAAACTTGATAAGCTAATTCCAAAATGTATATGGAAACGTACAAGGACAGCCAAAGCACCATTAGGAAAGAAAAGCAAGGTGGTGGGCTTACTTGCTCTAAATTTAGAGTAATTAAGACAAGAGGAGTTTAGTGCAGAAATAGACTGAGAGACTGATGAAGAGAATAGAACCTAGAATGGATGCAGGCAACATGGACCCTGATTCATGACAGAGTGACACCTCAGGTCAGTGGGGAAAGGGTGGGTTCTTCACTGACTGGTGCTGAAACAACTGGGTATCCACTGAGGGAAAAATTAGACCTCAACCTCACTCCACTCACAAAAACCAACTTCAGATGGATTACAGAACTACATGAAAAAGGCAAAATTACAAAGCTCTTGAAAGATAACATTGGAGAAGATCTTACAGAAGTCTTTTTAGACAAGACACAGAAAGTATTAACTACAAAAAAAGGATAAATTTGACTACATTAAAATATCTATTCATCAAAGACACCCTTATGAGAGTGAAGAGACGATCCACAGAATGGCATAAGAAATATGTAACACATTTAACCATCAAGGATTCATATCTAGAATATATAAATAATACCTTCTAGTCAGCAAGACAAAGACAGACCACCCAATAGAAAAATGGGCAATGATTTTAACAGGTACTTCGTAAGAAGAAATCTAAATGGCCAAAAACAAATGAACAAGTGTTCAACCTCATTAGTAATCAAGGAAATGCAAACAAAATCACAATGAAAACTTACAATACCAAGTGTTGGCCAGAATGTAGAGCAACTCTATTCATTGCTGAGAGGAGATTAGATTGGTACAAGATTTTTAGAAAATTATTTCACACAATCTACAAAAATTGAACATATACATTTGCTGTGATCCAACATTTGTACCCCCAGGTTTTAGACTGAACAATATGAAATAATTAATATTTCACTGTTTAATCCACAAAATTGGTAATTTCACTGTGGTGCAAGCTAATATATATCCAACAGAAATACACGCACCAAAAGACAATTCAAGAATGTTCAATGCTTTATTTGCAGTTGGCCCAGACGGAAACAAGCAAACATCCATCAACAGTAAAATAATACACTGTGGTGTAGTCACGCAAGGATATACTACACAGTAACAAAAGAGAACTACAGCTATATGCAACAGCATATGCGATTATCACTAACAGTGTTGAGGGAAAAGATCAAGATGCCCCCAAAAATACAGTATGATTCCATGTATATGAAGGTTCTAAAACAGTCAAAACTCATTTAAATCGTTTAGGAATGCATATAAAAGCGGTAAATCTGAAGAGAAAAGCAGGTAAATTATTACCATAAAAAGTCAGTTGAGTTCCCCTGAAGGGGGGAGTAGGTAGTGATCAAAAGGAGTTGCTGTGGGATTTCTGGGTGGGAGTGATGCTGTAGTATAGGACCTTGGTGATGCTTACACAGGTACTTGGCTCTAATATTGTTGATTACTGTACACTTGTGTTTTGTGCACATTTAAGCTTATGGGTTATACACAACTGAAGGTTTTAAAAAGTGCCTTTAAGAACAACTTGTTCATTTCTAGCCTGCAGTAAACTCTGTCCTTCCCCCCACCTCTAATTCACAGTACTGTTCCCATTCTCTCCTAGCGTTATTTATATGTAAAAGAGTCTCACATCTGTCTCTACATATGGGCTATTCCTCCAGGGGAGAGAAGGCACACTGGGAATTGACGTCAGACCCAATTCCATTCCACATAACTCTAAAAATGATTCTTCGCATAAACACTTCAGGAAGCAGACTTTCTGGTCTCAACACCCACTCTGTAGCTCCCAAGGATTTTAAAAACATGAAACAAGTTTTTAAAAGCTTTGCAAGCACCATGCCTCTGTAGTCAAATAGAAGCAGCCAGGGGCAGAGACTCCCACGGTCTCATGCCAAGACCTCCTTCGGTTAGGTGGCCTCCATATGACATTTCAATACTTGACTTCTGCCTGGCCTTTTCTGGCCAGGCATACTACAGGTCTGATTATCTAGATTTGGTTCTGGATACACAGTCTCCCACAAATCTGGGTAGTAACTAATACCCAACTAAACCAGTTAGCTTTTGGCTCCATTCATCACACTATCCATATGCAAATTCCATTTAATGTTTTTAGAAAGATACCATGGCAAAATCATATTAATTGAGTTAACAGTCCATTAAAAAATATGTAACCTCTTCATCCTTTTTGGGAAGCAGCTGCTGAATTTTTTTTTCCAGGAAGCAGTTAATGAACAACTAAAACACACAAGGACAAAGGCTCCCAGCAGAAAATGGTTAGGTATGACCAAGGTCAGGTGGTTCTTTTTTTTTTCTGTTAAGATTTTACTTATTTATTTGAGAGAGAGAGAGGGAGAGAGCATGCACAAGCTGGGGGGAGAGGCAGAAGGAGAGCGAGAAACATACTCCCGTTGAGCAGGGAGCCCAAAGCACGGCTCAATCCCAAGACCCTGGGATCATGACCTGAGCTGAAGGCAGACACTTAACTGACTGAGCCACCCAGGCGCCCCAAGGGCAGGTTCTTTTTTAGAGAAGAAATAAGATATTTCGAGAAAAGGAGCCCCAACAATCAACAAAATAAAAAGGCAACTTATGGAATGGA